CCTGTATTGTCGCGAAGCGTTATGGTTCTGAGATGCTCGATGACCCTGGAGGGATCGTTTTTGTTTACTGAGCAGAAAATCATGGGTTTAATCCCAAGCTCTCCATCATGACTCTTAAAATTCATTATCACTAAACAAAATTAATATGTTCTTTCGATAGCCGGCTATCGAGAGATTAAATAAACAACAAATAAACAATACATACTTTTGGTTGCATCGCCAACTTGAGGTGAATCCTAACCGAATACCCTACCCAACCCTCCAACTCCGTAGCACTTATGAGGGTGTCGCTAAGTCGGTGGCCTCTCGTTAAGTAAGTACTACATCAACATTTCCTTCCCTATCCCTAGCTATGGTAAAGATGGGCGTGGCCGGGAATAGCGACAGTCATGCTTCTGTTACTCTTGTTTAGATTGGAACCAATGTTTACTCCTCAGCATTATTCCTGAAAGTAGTCTAACTGAGAATTTCAGAAGAGACGTGAGTGTCGTTAGTATCCAATCTACGAAGTATATCATAACAACGCTAACGCTATTACTGGAAATTGATAGTACTAAGTATATATGGTGTAAAGACACCGAATACGCCCTCAAGTAAACTCTACTGGCCTAAAAAAGGATCCGGAACGACTGATAAAGTGGCCACATTATAAAAATTGTCCTAGAACCTTTCGATTTTTTCTATGTTGTTCAGAATCAAGAGATCAAAGTGTATTTAATATGGAAACTATATTTTGGGGTAAAGTGGCCATATTCTGATTCTCCGGATAATCTGGATTGAACGATAAAGTGGCCACATTATAAAAATTGTCCTAGAACCTTGCGATTTTTTTTTTTATGTTTGTTCAGAATCATGAGATCAAAGTGAATTTTATATGGAAACTATATTTTGGGGTATAGTGGCCATATTCTGATTTCCCGGATAATCTGGATTGATTGGCCAACGAGACTACCGCCAATCGATTCAGCAGAATTTTTCCTTTCAGAATATGTATAACATGTTGACTGAAACCGTTTGGCAACCGAGATATACAATATAGTCGCGGTTTTGTCAATTTTTGCCCAGTGTGCAATGCCTTGGTTTTCTTTGCATGCACGTATAGCTCATACCGTAGTAGGCTGTGTATAAAAGAAAATGATTTACTTACTTTGACAGTTGCACCATGACGAAGTGGCAGCTTATTCGTGATTCATCCCACGTGCAAATGTCGCAAAAAACATTTCAATCGCCGTGGGAGTGTCCCGGTGGACTGTCAAAAGGGTTTTAGACCGAGAAAAGAAAGGGCAACTATCCGCGAAGGTTTCCACAGGTCGTCCGAGGTCAGCTCAGGTTCCGAGGGTTATCGCTGCTGATTATTGCTGAAGATTCGGGTGAATCCAGTGCGTTCAATAAGGAAAATGACAAAGGAACACGGGATCAGTGACTTTACGGCACGGAAGATCGTAAAGGAAGATTGCGGGGCGAAGTCGAGGGCACGGAAAAACTCACATGATTACCAACCGCATCCGGGAGCTACGAGTCGAACGATGCAAGAAAATCTTGAACTTCCTTAAGCGAAAAAATCCGGTAAACCTGTTCACCGACGAGAGAATGTGTACCGTCGATCCCGTATCAAATTCCAGAACCGACCGGTATATTAGTTCTCTTCCGATAAAAGACGTGGCCGACGAGCACAAGAACATGTACCTGACCAACCATCCTGCTAGCGTTATGGTGTTTGGATTGGTGGCTTCCAATGGGAAAAAAAAATGGACCCGGTGTTCATTCCAGAAGGCGACAAGGTCAACACCGAGGTCTACATCGGGATTTTAAGTAAGTATGTTCTTCCGTGGATCAAAGAACAGTACGGTCCGAAGCCAAATGTTGTATTTCAACAAGATGGGGCTCCGTGCCACACCTCGAACCGCACTCAAAAGTGGTTGCAGGAACATCTTCCGCCATCCAGCCCCAATCTTAATCCGCTGGATTACTCAATATGGCGCGTCATGACGGCCAAGGCCTGTTCTAAACGCCACCCGAGTACAGCAAGCCTCAGACAAACATTGACCCGTACCTGGAGAGAAATGGATCCAGACTACATTATTAGAACCTGCCGTGCATTCCGGAAGCGTGTGGAGGCCGTAATTGCAGCAAGTGGAAACTCGATCGATGATTAACATAGTTTAAGACTCTGATAAACTTAAGACTCTGAATAAATAAAAAAAAAACTCGAAAACAAAATTTTTGAGAATTTTTTTAATTTTGACATTGTTCAATGGTGCAAATATTATCACGCATACGGTATGTGTCTAGGAAAAGGAGATGAAGATACCGTATATTTGGTGCTGTATGTTGACGACTTACTTATTGTTGGACTAAACTTGCGAGTAATTGAAGATTTGAAGTCCCTACTGACCCGTGAGTTCAAGATGACAGTGCAGTAAATAATTTCCTTGGAATGAAGATTCATTTCGATCACGATTGCGGTAGAATGCTGTTGTCCCAAAAGGCTGCTATTGAGAAACTTTTACAGAAGTTCGGAATGGAGGAATGCGATCCAACTCGAAGCCCAATGGAAACGGATATTTGCTTCTCTGTTGGGTACCTCGGAAGATTCCTACAACAACCTGGACAACAACACTGGTCGGCACTTGAGCGAGTAGTCCGATACCTGAAAGGTACGCAGAAATTGGCGATGGAGGTCAAACGTCATGAAGACTAGAAGCCCCTTACCGGATTTGCAGGCGCAGATTGGACAGGTGATCAAGAAGATCGTAAGTCAGTAAGTGGCTTTGTATTCAAAGTTTAGTTCAAGTGAAGCAGAATATGTTGCCTTGAGTTGAGCAGCGGCCGGAGCGATTTGGTTGACCGGAATTCTCACTGATTTGGGCATAATCGACGTTGAACCAGTTAAGATTTTTGAAGACAACCATGGATGTATCGGTAAAATCGAAGCGTGCAAAACATATCGATATCCGTTATCATTTTGTAAGAGATCATGTTGCCAAAGGGAAACTTGAAGACCTACCGAGTCCTATACCGAGGCTTTGGATGGCGAGCAGTTCCATATTCTTCGTAAGAATCTAGGATTGAACGATCGAGAGGGGGTATAATCAAAGAAGCCTGTGATCAAGCAAGAAGCGATCGTTCCCAAGTAACCATAGGCACGCTATTTTGCCTTTTTGGCTGTAAATGGGCCTCACCAGAACTTAGAAACCCTGGTATAGTCGTTGTTCAGTTGTATACAGCTAAAATGGCGAAATAACCAATCCTCTGGCACAGCCATTGGTTCTTGAAGCTGCCGTCAGTGATAGCGCTGGCGTTGATGTTGGAATGATTTTAAGCTTCAGTCATACGTTACCATCATCATGGCTTGCGATGAGTTTTTACCCATCCGAGTATGACCAACCGATAGGACGGTCATTGTTTCTTGAAGCTATCGTGAACTCCCTTTCTTATAATTTCATAGTGCGATAGAAACGCAACTGAACAACACCGAGAGAACAATTGAAAACACTATTTAATTACTTGATAAATTTCCATCAATACCATAACGTTACCACGGCCGGTCAAACAAACGCATAAACGGAGCTGAAACGCGTAATGTTTACATCAGCTGTCAATAGTATAATCGAACCAAAGAGACAAAAAATCGGCTTCAAGCAAAGTGTTCTTGGATGACTTTTGTGCCACCGGAGTGGAAATAACGTGCCTATGGGTACTTGGGTTGTTTTAACAAAACTGTTCCTGTCCGTTAAGTTGATGTGTAGTTTCTCTGAGTTCCAGAAAGACCGAATTCTCCTGTTTAAATATTTGTTGTTCAGACTTCTCGCACAAGGTGGCTCTAGTGTTCATGTGAAATTTGCGAACATGCAATATCTCATGATCCAGTCTATAAGCAAAGTTGCTGTTTTCTGCAATGTTGTTCAGGAGACCAAGACCTTTGAATCGTGGACAGTTTCGGAATTTTCAAGCTAGGTGGCACTAGTATCCTTAAAAATTTACATGTACATGCAGGGTCGACACCTCGAGATCATTGCTAGATAAAAAGTTACTGCTTCTGCAACGTTGTTCATGACGCTAAAAGCTTTTGAATTGAGGACAGATTGGTTCGGGATTCTCTAACTAGGTGGCGCTAGTATTCTTATGAATTTCGTGTAAATGCAGGGTCAACATCTCGAGATCTTTGCCATACACAACATTTCTGTTTTCTGCATTGTTGTTCAGGAGGCTAAAACCTTTTGACTTGTGGACAGCTTAGCTCGGAATTCTCTCACTAGATGGCACTAGGATTTTCATAAGCTTCGTGTACATACAGAGTCGACATCTCGAAACCCATGCTAGATGCAAAATTGTTGTTTGCTGCAATGTTGTTCAGAAAGCAAAAACCTTTGGAATTGTGGACAGTTTAGCCCGGATTTCTCTCACTAGGCGGCACTAGTGTTGTTATGAATTTCACGTAAATGCAGGGTTGTCATCTCAAGATCTTTGCTACATTCAAAGTTGCTGTTATCAGCATTGTTGTTCAGGAGAGGAGTTTATGCACTGGAGCCGAATGTGGTCTTTCGCCAAGACGGGGTACTGCGCCATACCTCGAACCGCATGCAAAATTGACTGAAGCTACTGTTCTGGTCGAAAGATATGTGGCCACCATCCATCCCCGATCTTAACTTCTCGGATGATTCAGTGTAGCGCGTCATGAAAGCCAAGGCCTGTGCCAAACGCCACTCCAGTATAGCAAGCCTCAGACAAACATGGACCCACGCCTGGAGAGATATGGATTCGAACTATATTATCAGAAACTGTCGAGCATTCCGGAAGCGTGATGAGGCCGTAATTGCGCCAAATGGAAATTCTGTCGATGATTAACATAGGTTTAAGTTCTTACAAACGAGATTTACCATCCACAAAGCTTTCAACTTGTTTCAAGAACGATCTTCCACCTTATGCTGATACTTGGCATGAAGATACCCCAACAACCTCCCCAGGCAATGGACGTGATATCTAGAAACTGACATCGATTTCGTTGAACTAAAATCGTTTAATAATTAGCCTACCATAATTATTGTATAATGCTGTCCTACACAGTTTTGCTAAGCAAGTTTTTCCCGTATCGATTTGATTAAAAAAAAATTTCTAGTAAAAGGATAAACAACACACTCACATAAGCTATGCAGCACAGTTCACCGACTAACATCAGATATTGTTTAAAATCTGCTTCAGGTCATCCGGAAGGCAACGCTTCATGCTCTCCAGGTGCTTGAGCAGCTGTTCGCGAGTATCCTTGGTATTGAGCTGCACCGGCAGGGCCGCCATCTGGGTGCTGCTGCAAAGTTGGAGCTTCTGCTTCAGTCGCAGTATCATGTCGACGATTTCGACCTCGTGCTTTCCCTTGACCCACTCGGTGAGATTGGAATCGGAGAGGGTTTGCATGTGCAGGGCCTGAAGCGTTTGCTGCAGCTCGAAGTAACGGGTTTCGTACCAACCCTTGAAGTTGGGAGACGAGAAAAAGCGTTTGTAGAGTCCTTCCCAGTCGCCCTTGCAGGTGGGGGTCAGATGAGGTCCATTGCCTTCGAGAGTGGCGAGGAAGTCTTCTTGTTTAAAGGGGTTTGGAAGCGGTGCGGATTTAAAAGGGGAGATGTCCTTTTGCAGGGGCATAAGCGAAGCCAGGTAGCGTTCTAGTGGGATTATGAAGCTTTGGGTAATCTCGAGAAAGTGTCGCCGGAGCAGGGCGGATTGTACTGACGGTGGACGTTCGGTTTTGATCCCAAGATGGATCTTCTTGATGAAGGTCTTGTCTTTGGAGATGAACGGTTTGTACTGGGTGTAGACTCCGGGGGACGAATCCAGGAGCTTATTGGTGATCTGTTTGATTTTGGACAGTTTGGAATCGGAGCTGGTGCTGGTGAGGGTGGGAGTTCCGGCGGGTGTGATGGTTTGTTTTTGCTTCTGCAGTAAGGTGGCTTCGGTGCTATCCTGCAGACGGATCATGTGAGGCCAGTGTTGGAGGGTCTTGGCGAAGAACGGATTCGTTACGCCGAGAATAATTGACGGATGGCCATTTTTGTTTTGTGTGAATTCCTTGAACTCGGTGTCGTGAATGGTGAAGTAGGGCCGGCTTTCGGCACAGTAGGACAACGGACTGATTAGTCCCATCAGCGATTGGACCATGTGAGAGCAGTCCGTTGGAGAGGCTCCGGTGACGACGATTGGCTCTCCGGTGAGCACCAACTCCCAGAGAAGGTGGATATGTGGCAGGAAGAACTGGAGACTCTTGAATATATCGATTTCGTGAATCGAGCCGATTATCTGCGTTTGAGGACTTGCGGTTACGGAGGTTTCTGATTTCGGTTTCTCTGCTGGTGAGATTTTAAAATTCTGCTTGGGAATGGCTATTTCGTAGATGCTTCCTATGAGGTGAAGAGACATGTTTTCACCAGCCATGAGCGACGGCCAGTGGCAGATGTTGTCGCAGACGGCTTCCAAGGTAGGCTCACCACTGGAAAAGAAGGCTGGTGCGATCAAGGCGGTAAGCTCGTAGAAGAGATTGATAAACGGAAGTCGACTGAGTAGTACCAAGCTTTTCTGGAAGTAACCTCGCTTCAGAGTGGCATCTTTGATTTGACGGAAGTAGACAAAGCCCCAAAAGTGACCGGGATCGGCGCGATGGACCGGAAGACAGTGGCAATTGAAGTCTTGATGTTCTTTCCGAAGGGCTGAAGATTCGGACCCGGGCGATACCCGCAATCTTATGTGAAACTGGGAGTCCCCCATGCAACCGGAGTTGGAATCCGGAAAGGCTAGATAGCAGATATTTGTCTTCTCCTGCTCGGTGAGCGTTACATGCTTTGGGTAGATTAATTCCATGGCTTGACCTAGCTCTAAGTCAAAAGTTACTATACAAATGCAGTGAATCCATTCACTGAAGCGATCCCAAGTGCCGGCGTGCTCGTCCAAATCGATCGTTTGCTGGATAGAGAGCTTCTCCAGCGCCATTTCCTGCTCCTTGGCGTCCTCCTCATGCTTCTCGGCTTCCAGTAGGATTTTCTTGTGTTTGTACACAATCCGATCGATTTCATACCGCTCGAGTCTTCCCTTATCCAGTGTAGCTTTCAGGTCGATGTTCCCTTCCACCATCGCATTCAGGATCCCGTTTGTATCCAAACTGAAAAGCAGCCCTACGTCCTCAATTTCCCCAAATGTCCCCTCTATCTTCAACCTCCCCAGTAAAATATTATCACTAACAATGGCACTTTCCCCCTCGTACAGCAACTGCATCTCCTGAAAGTTCTTCACCCGATGCTTCACTTTCAAAGGAACTGTCGAATTTCTACTGATCAGTATTCGAGGTGATTCGTCAACACCACTTTCCGACACTAGACCGATCGATCGTGGCACCAGATCCAACCACAGAATGTCCTGAATCTCCGGCGACTTCTCCCCACTTAGAATCGCTGCAGCTATGGCGCTTCCAACCACGACGGCTTCGTCCGAATTGATCGAACTGCTGAGTGACCGCCGATCAAAGAATTCACTGAGCATCACTTGCACTTTCGGTATCCGCGAACTCTCCCCAACCAGCATGATTTCGTGAATGGCAAAACGATCCTTCCGAGCCCTACGGAGGGCCATCTCGACGTGAAGCATGATCTTGTCCAGGAGATCCCGGTTGAGTTCCTCGAATTGATCTCGAGTCAGAACGAACTCAAATCGTTGACCTTCGTACAAATCAGCAATGTCGATCACCGCTTGGTTCGTGTAGGACAACGTTCGCTTAGCTTGCTCGCATGCTTTCCTCAACTTGCGTAAGGCTTCCTTACAGAACGAAATCTCCTTGGAATGCTTGTCCTGAAATTCCTTCACACAGTACGCCACTAACCGATCATCAAAGTCCGTGCCGCCCAACTGGTTGTCTCCGGAAGTTGCCTTCACCTCGAACACTCCATTGTAGATCGTCAAGATTGACACGTCCAGGTGGCCTCCCCCTACGGAACACACCAGGACCCACTGCTCACCGATCACTTTTTTACTGATACCGTTGGAAATAGCCGCCGCTGTTGGCTCATTCACTAATCTCAACACATTTATTCCAGCGATCGCGGCCGCATCTAGCACTGCTTGCCGCTGCCCGTCGGTAAACCCCGCCGGAACAGCGATCACTGCAGATCCCACCGTCTGGCCCAGCTTCCGCTCCGCCATCGTCTTCAACTGTCCCAGTATTCCTCCACATATTTCCTCCGGATAAAAGCTCTTCGTCTCGCCCTTAAACTGAACCTGCAGTTTATCCCCCTTCCTACCCCCCAGTTTCCGCTTCACCTCCAGCACCGCATTGCCGGGATCCAAATCCGCCTGTGCCAGTGCGTCCTCTCCGACTAACCGCGACTTGTCGGTGAAGGCCACGCACGATGGTATCCTATGGTTTCCGGCTCCATTGGCAATGATTTCAAACTTACCCCGGCGGTAGATGCCCACGCTGGAAAAACTGGTACCGAAATCGATTCCGATCGCTAGCGAATTTCGGCCCGTAGGCTCCATTGCTCGGTAATTGTTCGGTAGTTAGTGAGTGACGACGAAAATGACGGTCAGTGCAATGACATTTTGCTGTTTGTCCTTCGTCGGTTTCTGAAACGAGATAATGATAACAACAATGCTGTTAGCTGCGTATGTGACAGAGATAATTGCTCAAGTTTAATCTCATTTAAAGCAATTAAGCTGGTGCAGTGCTCGGATGGGGAATGAGTTATGATTCCCTCGAATATGTTTGCGACAAAAGATGGAAGATTTTTCAAATTCGAATGAGTTCATAGCGAAAATCGATTATTTCCTGAGGAAACGTATTTAACCGGTTTGTTTACTTTTCGAAACCCATGATTTTGACGTCACAATGGAGCGAATGCGTACATGTGAGCCAATCGATAGAAGAAGCACTGCGCCACTGTAGCAGCTTGCTAAAATGAAATCAAATAAACAAAGTTAACAATTTTTATTTATAACTTACTTCCTGCTTTTTCGCCGATTACGATTCCACGCTTGTGTTGCTGCTCTTCTTTACGTTCGTGTGTAGCTAAATACCATCAGTAATCCATACAAGAGGTAGCAAACGCAGTAGTTGATTTACAGGAAGTGTTGTTTTGGTTTAGATCCCCTCCTAAACAGACAGATGGACAGACAACAGAAACAAAGTCGACACTATTTTTTTCCCATCAACAGTAGGCCCTGCTTAACACTTTCACCTTCAAATCGATATCCCCCACCATAATCACTTCCCATCAATTTCCGTTCTTCAGACGCACAGCCAACACGCAATTCATCGTTTTTCCGACGCAAAACGATTCCCGCACTTGCCAGTGATCTATTTCACTTGATTTCAGCAGAAAAATCAAGATAATTCACTACTTTTCTACAAAATAATTTATTTTCGAATCACGGTAGCAACAATCTCCTTTCTTTTCCGAGGGTCGATTGTGGAGTGACAGGCACAGGCACAGTGATCGACCAATCACAGTGTAGCAGTACAGAGCATGCAGAGTTCGGGGTAACCAGTTTTCTGTACTATGGCTCTCTTCTTTCCTTTGACTTTGACGTTTACATAATTTCAGTTCAGTGAATCACCCCTTGCGATGCGGTTTATACAAACTATACTGGCGACGAGAAGCAGAAATGAAACGGAGAGAATCGATTCGAAATAGGAAGTGGGAGAGAGCGAGAGAGCGAATTTGAAACTGCTTGGGCGCGGAATGAAGCGCCAGTGCGCAGATGTAGCGACAATCCGTGCTCTGGGTGTGGATGGTGGAACCATTTTCGAACAAATAATGAAACGTGCTAGGTCACAGAAGGGAAAAGGGTTCTCGGTCGGATTCAGCTTTGGAAAATGACTTTATTGGAATGTTCAATGGAGACGCCCTTACGCTTACCTTGTGCTTCTTGCTACTTTTTAAAATACAAGCAACTCAGGTGATATAACAGGTACCGTCGGTTGCAGATGGAGTTTTAGCAGGTGTTCTGATTTTTCAATTGCTCTGGCAACTGCCAGATCTTTAGTAGTAAGAATACCGACCGCAAATTGTATCTTTATTTTCCTCAAAAGTGTGGACTTGATCCCGGGATGTGTATTAAAATAAATATCCAAATGCAAATGCATCCTTTTAATGAGGATTGCAATGGGCATTTGATGTCGGTTTCTATAGCCATTCTATGATGTCTTGTGCTAGAAGATCATCTAATTTTGCGTTCCCTTTATCCAGCAATGGAACCGGACATCTTTGGAGTGGTTGAATCACTGGGGGTACACTTCGGTCATTGGGCAGCGTTAGCTCAACACCACGAATGTGAAGAGAAGCCATCTTCGACTAGTCGACACGATTTACGTTATCCGATCCGTTTAATTCCAGTCCGACACGTAGTACCCGAAGCTGCTGAGCCGTAGTTTTTCCCAGAACAGGCTTTTATGCTTTCTCGATGACGTAGAATGTTGTATCCGTTGACGATTTCCGGTTTTAGTTTCCAATATTTCGATCTCCGCGTTGAAAACGGTAATTTCAGGGGAACTTTTCAATACGCGAGGAATTTCTTGCTTCCATCTAAACGAAGGTTATATGCTCTTGTGTTCCGCAGCTTCATCGTTTTCCACGTTGTATCGTCAATCAAGTTATCCATCAGTATCTCGATTTTTACGCCTCCTACCTTGCACTGGATCAGCTCGTCGTTGGTTTCCATAACATTGTAAACGGTTTTGAACGAACAGTTGCTGGCCGAGTATCCTGTAAACAAACAGCATGGTAGGGAGATAAAAAAAAAACTATAAGGGACAGCCCTATGAGATTGTACGCAATAGGGACGTTGGACTACGTGGTCTTATATAATAAATGTTATTTGTTAACTGCAGCAGGAGCTTGTGTTTTGTGTATGAATAGGAATTTGAGCGGGGTTCTCTCTGTTTATACTCTTCAGTATGACGCACTTGGCATAACTTGGTATGATCCACAGCGACTCACGAAGACCTACTGATTCCGATCAATAGTTGTGCGGCTTCTTCCTCCTTCTATGGATGCTCATTAGACTGATGCAAAATTTGACTTTTTCGCTCCACAATACTTAAACGATTCCAAATCGAATCCACACTAACCTCTCAAAATTTGAACCCCTTTGGTGAGAAACTGAGATGGCACAAACCATTTGAAGTTTGTATGGGAATTACTATGGTAAAACCAAGATTTTTGTTCATGTCTATCTAATAATTCACCATATCGGTCTGCTTCGAAAACTTTCAACTGTACTTATAGGAAATTTTTCCAGCTACAACTTTACCCAAGACGACTTTTTGATTAAATGCAAGAATCGAAAGTTATCAATGGTTCAATGCGCTGATGTCTAATGATCATGCTCAATCATTTGCTCAGCAGGCAACATTGGTGTTTCTGGGGCGTTGAATAGGACACAAAAATCATGGCTACTATGTCACACTACAAAATACAGTGTTGCCTACAGAGCAGCTGCTTGATCATGTCATAAGTTTACCAATCTCTTGAATAATTAATAACTTTTTCCTGTTTTGTTTTACATAGAAACAATCTTCAGCAAAGTTGTAGCTGAGAAAATTTTCCCTTTTTCGAACTGTTTCGCAGCTCAATATGGAAAAAGACTAGAAGGCAATGATCAAAAAGATGAGATTTTCCATAGTAATTTACATGTAAACTTCAAATGGCTTGTGCGAAGTCTGTTTCTAACCAAATGAGTTGTAACTTTGGGAGGCTAATCAGGACCCGATTTGAAACTATTTAAGCACTGTGGAGCGAAAAAGTCAAATTTTGCATCAGTCGAATGCTCATGTGGGATTCAGCTTGCTGCTTGCAGGCAGCTTTTCGTTGTGTACTAGAGAACAATGTTCAACGTCACGTACCGAAAGCACTGCTGCTGCTGATGCCGACGACCGGAGATCACCACACACGATTATTCGAACTAAATCCGATCAGCGGTTGAGGTCAGCCTTGATCGCTAGCTGCTTGCGGGGAGTCTTTCGTTGTGTACCGGAGAACACCACTACTCACCACGCGGTGATTGAATAAACACCGTTTGGTAAGACCGGATGCAATTTAACTTTGAAATCTGTGTTAAGGAAATCGCTTTTCGCAGGCAATCGGTGATAAATAATAAAATCTTAGAATTAACATGCGTAGGAATATTTCTGATCGAATGGTGATAAAATTATTGAAATTGGTCCAGGGGCAGCTGAGTTATTAACGATCAAAATCTTTCATAATTTTGTTACAAGTTCCATTTTTGGTTTTCACAAAGTGTACCCCCATATAAAAATCAAAGACATAGTCCTACGTCAAAAAACTATTCAATAGTAGTATTGTACAATATGTTTCTTGCCAAGGGCATTCGTCTTGAACTTCTGCATACCGATTTGAAGAAAGCAGGTCCCTGGCAACGCAAATAAATTTTATTATTGCGGGACACTTTTCGCCTGGTAGGGGAAATGCAGGTAATGTCGGCCTAAGTGTCCCTAATTCGGGCCCATACATAAATTCAGCAATCAACTAAATTTTCAATAGCAACCAAAAATATCCATTAGTAAAGATAAAATTGATAAATAGCAGACTTTTAGCGATGGGCCCAAATTAGGGACATGAAGGCCGACATTACCTACATTTCCCCTATGTTGAATGTATCCGCATTTGGTACATCGTGGTGAAACACCGTTTAGAGATTCTGAACGTGCAAAACTTCTCCTATTTGAACTGGTGTACGTCCTCTGAACAACTAGAACGGTAACGTTCGATTTTCTATTCATTTTCGATGCTTGATACTTCACAGCTTGATGGGAGTTGACAACTACTTTAAGGCACTCACCCAAAGTTGAGTTTTATCACTCTCTAGAAGCTTTTCACGGAGATCACTTTCGTTTTGACCACAGCGTAAGGATCAACATTTCCATCTAATTCTACATCTTCTTTTGCTGCTCAAGGCCACCCATTGCCAGCTACTGTATTTTTTTCATTGATCCATCGTTGATGTTCGAAGCGCACACATCACTCGTTCGAATCCTCTAAATTATCCATTCCAGGTGTTTAAAGCAAAATTGTGGTAAATTGAACGATGCCTGATTAAACGCTGGCATTGTTTGAACCACCAGAACTGAGTTCTGTGGGTCTTGATTGTTGCTATACATCCTCTATAGAGAAAAAACGTAAACAAACAAAAAAATTCCTGTCAAATCCAATTATCGACGAATTTGATCATCGACATCAGGCACCATCTTTCAACGAATCCAATCATTGGAATGATTACATGAATCTTTTCGGCGAATCTAATCACCAACATGTTCCATTCTCAATCTTTTCCAACGAATTCAATCATCGGCATTATTTCGACGAATCCAATCATCGACGGCATTCCAGGTACGCTTCCATTTTTTTCAGATGTTTCTCATAAAGAGGAAAAAAAATGGCGTCGATCCAAGCGATTTGTCGATTTTATATGTCACGGCTGATTTTACGACTTACCTATGTTCTTCTGGATAAAATTTATCGGTTATTGATATAATTTTCTATTTAACGTCTTAAGAAGAATCAGAAGCGAATCCCATCCTCGTCGCCACTATGTGATGTGATGATGAAACAGGAAGATAATATGGTAACGACTGGCTGGTAAAGTAAGACTGACTGTCACCTCATACAGTTCAATTCGGCATGGAACACTATCATAGACATGCATGAGCTAGGGATACCAAATATCCTATGAAAAGTAATTTTGTGCATCTAGAAATAATCTATCTAGGTAATTAAGATACAGTACTTGTTCGCTAACTGGACTTAAAGGGTACCCCAGTTATCGAATTCCTCCCGCTAACTGGGCTGGCTTGTCATACGTCAAAAAAACCTGGAATCTTCAATGGATTATGTGATCTACGTTCAAAAATTTCACGTGCATTGAATTGAAACAGTGTAATGTTAATAACCCATTCTTTAATGACTTTGCTACATTCACATTTCGGGCTAATTTTCTACATAGTCTCTTAAAAGAAAATATAATTAACATTGGCGTAGCTAGGAAATATATCTGGAGGAGCTCAAGAACTCACGAAGATGCTATTCAATCAAATTGCGTCAAGGCAACTTGTTTTTCGGTACCGTAAAACGGGGTAACATTGATAGTTTTTGAAGTATATTCCAAATGTTTTTAGAGCAATTATTGTTTTTTCTGCTGAGGATCCTAGAGTAAACTTGTTAGTAATATGTTTAATGGAAATTAAAACATTTGCACTAGAGAGGGTCTAGTATAAGAGAGGAGCGGATTCAAAACAAACTGCATTGGCAACCTATGCCTAGTTGAATTCTAGCAACACTGCCAATGCAATCAAGATAGGCGCTGCTCAATTAGCTCTGGCATTGACAGTTCGTTTGGCGCAAAACCAACCAGTCCGTTCCTCTCTGATACTAGACCCTCTCTAATTTGCACTATCTTTTTAG